GTAGTAGTAGTAGTAGTAGTAGTAGTACTAGTAGTAGTAGTAGTAGTAGTAGTAGTAGTAGTAGTAGTAGTAGTAGTAGTAGTAGTAGTAGTAGTAGTAGTAGTAGTAGTAGTCGTCGTCGTGCTAGTAGTAGTCGTCGCAGTAGTAGTCGAAGTGACGATTTTGTCCACAACGTGGCTCCCTGGAGTTCTGGACGTGGCCTTGGGGGCCGGGCCTTCATCCCGAACCGTCCTCGCAGAGGGCCCCGGCGGCCTGGGGAGGGCGCCCCAGAGGCCGAGGAGATTGCGAGCACGTCCCGCTGTGGCCCGTTCGCGGCGTTTTCCGGCGGCGGAGCGCCCCAGCCTCGAGTATCGGGGAAACGTAAACCCGAGTAAGCGGGAAGTCGGGTTGGCCGAAGTTTGTTGATGAGCGCGTCCAGGATTTTGACGGTCTCGTTTTCGTGGGATGTCTGCAGCGGGAGGCCGCGTCAAATTTCAGATTGGATTTCGTCATTTTCATGAGGCCCCCGTCAGGCCAACCTGAGTCCCCCGTACCCGAGTCTCACGTGTCCCCGACAGTATAGTTCGTAGGGGGCAAGAGGGGGGGTGATGGCTAGAGGGGGTGATGACTAGGGTGATGGCGGGGGCCACCCAGATCTCACGGCGCCTCTTCTTACTTCATTGCGTCCCTGGCCCCCCCGCTGGGCCGCGCACGTGCCTCCGGTCATGATTTGCACCCCCCCCCTCTTGGACACCCCCCTCTTGGACGCTCCCGTATAGCATGGCACGCGTGCGCCAGTCAAGCGTCGCGCCTCTAGGGTGAAGTCGGGCATGTCCCTCTGCAGGAGGAATACTCAAGAATAGTCAACAAAACACAGTCAGGGAGACAATTGTTTGACCATGTTCGACATTTGCATTGCAGCATTTGTTTGACCATGTTCGACATTTCTGTCAAGAGCCGCCCGTAGGAGGACGCGCCCGACCTGACTCTAGCGTGTGCCGAGGCCGCCCTGCTCCAGCTGTGCTCACGCAGGGGGCCCGCCGAAGGCGGCCGCCTCACGGCGCAGAGGCTGCCAAGGGCCCGGTCGAGCTCGGGCCCGGCAGCCCCTCCCCCCCAGGCTCCTCTGCTGCGCCAGCTCTGCGCGCGCATGGCCGACACCAAGGACCGCGGGAGCAGGCGTAGGGGGCGGAGGGGGCACAACGAGGAGTTGGAGGAGGAGGAGGAGGAGGAGTTGGAGGAGGAGGAGGAGGAGTTGGAGGAGGAGGAGTTGGAGGAGGAGGAGGAGGAGGAGGAAATGGGAACAGGTCGAAGAAGCAACAACTCATCAGCATGCAGCCAGAGGTTCATGCGGATTCTTGGGTCGGCGCCAGACCCCTTGCGGCGGGGTCCTGCTTCGACCCAAGGGAACCGCGCGGACATGTTCATGTCTGGTTGTTCTTCTTATCAACATACTGGCGGGCAAGGAAGAGGAAAAGTGAGGAAAGAGGAAATATGGGGAGACGTTAGTTGGCCACCTCACCCGCCGGCCACCCAGCCTGCTTCGGTGAGGTGCTCGGGCGACGTCCCCCAGTATGGGGAATGGAGGGGCATGCTGAAGAGGAGGTACAGGGGGAGTGGGAACCGCTGTCCGACTGGAGCGTGAACCCCCCTGCCCAGCCCTCGACACAGCGGCGGGGGGTCCCGCAGCGGGCGATGGTTAGGCTCGGCGCCCGCCGCGCCATGGCGGCCGAGGTGCCCGCGGCAAAGCCTGACACCTCCAACGCCAACGCCGACGCTGTCAAGAACATCGACGCCAACATGGGTGACGAGGACACCAGCTGTCAGCCGAAACACCCGCGATCGTGAGCCACACGAGTTCTTAGAGACCAGCTTTCCCATCACCTTGAAGGCCCACAAACTGGAGTGGCAGCCATGCGCCGGCTCGCGTACGTCGCGCGCAGTCGGCTTGCACCAGATACCGAGGTGGCATCGCCATTATCCTGATCGCCAACCGCTGCGCCTGCGCCGGCAAGAGGGCCAAGGCCGACAGCTACGCCACCGTCTCAGGTGGCGACAGCGACAACGAGCTGAGTCACGCGCCGCAAGACTATCAGCGGCACCTCCAACATGAACACGGATTCCGCCGCCTTTGCCCCTTCTGGGTCGCTTGGCTGCTGGGCCCACGAGACGCCGCTCCTCGCCGCTGGCTGTCGAGACGGGATCCGCCGCCTTCACGTCGATGTCGGCATCGGCGCCGACCGGGCCCAGTTTACATACCTATATGACCACCCTTCGGATAATAAGGAGGTTGGGGGGGGGGAGGAACCAACGTCTCACTCGATCGGTCTCACTATCGATCTCACTATCGATCTCACTATCGGTCTTGCTCGATCGATCTCACTCGATCGATCTCACAATCGATCTCACTCGATCTATTTCATTCGATCGATATCACAATCGATCTGACTATCGATCTCACAATCGATCTCACTATCGATCTCACTATCGATCTCACAATCGATCTCTCATTCGGTCTAACTATCGATCTCACTATCGATATCACAATCAACGTCATCATCATCAACAACATCATCGTCATCAACATCATCATCATCAGCATCATCGGGACACCATCATCATCATCATCATCACCTCATCACCACCATCATCATCATCATCAGCATCACCATCAGCATCATCATCATCATCATCATCATCATCATCATCATCATAGGGACACCATCATCGTCACCATCATCATCATCACCATCATCATCATCGGGACACCGTCATCATCACTATCGGATCACCACCATCATCATCATCATCATCATCATGATCATGAGCAACATCATCATCATCATCATCATCATCATCATCATCATCATCATCATCGGGACACCATCATCATCATTAGCAACACCATCCTCAACATCATCATCATCATCATCATCATCATCGGAACACCATTATCATCGTCACCATCGTCATCATCACCATCATCATCCACACCATCGGTACACCATCCTCATCATCATCAACATCAGCATCATCACCATCATTGGGCCACCAACATCGAAAGCATCATCACCTCATCATCATCATCCTCATCACCAGCATCATCATCATCATCATCATCGGGACACCATCATCGTCATCACCATCATCATTATCATTATCATCGCCATCGGGACACCATCATCATCATCATCATCATCATCATCATCACCATCATCATCATCAACAGCATCATCAACAACCTCATCATCACCACCATCATCATCATCATCATCATCATCAACAGCATCACAACAACCTCATCATCACCACCATCATCATCATCAGCATCACCATCATCATCATCATCATCATCAACCATCAACATCAACATCATCGGACACCATCACCGCATCATCAAACATCTGATCATCAGCAACATCATCAGACACAACATCATTATCATCAACGTCATCTATCATCATCAACATCATCATCGAGGGCACCATCATCGTCATCATCATCATCATCAGCAACAACATCATCACAATCAATCATCATTGTCAAACACATCAATATCATGATCGCCACCACCATCACCATCACCATCATCATCATCATCATCATCATCATCATCATCATCATCATCATCATCATCATCATCATCATCATCATCATCATCATCATCATCATCATCATCATCATCATCATCATCAACATCATCCACATCATCATCATCATCATCATCATCATCATCATCATCATCATCATCATCATCATCATCATCATCATCATCATCATCATCATCATCATCATCATCATCATCATCATCATCATCATCATCATCATCATCATCATCATCGGGACACCGACGGGACACCGGCGGGACACCGCGCGCCACCGGCCCCCGAGCGGGACACCGGCGGGACACCGCGGGGCACCGGTTGCCGGAAGGGAGACTTTTGGTCAGGCCGCGCTTCAGCTACAGGAGACTTACTTCTCGCCCGCCCACGCAGCTTCGCCTCGCCCGCACGCACGGTACGCACGAACACGAAACCGAAACCGATTTCCCGGTAGGGGGGCTCTCCGTTCCACTTCGTTCTCACCCCCTCACCTCCGACTTCTGTTTCAACCTCCCCGCGCCCTTTCTCATGCCTGGGATCATCACGAACGTACTCAACCCCACCGCCGGCACGTCGAGGAGGGCATTACTTGCACCGTCTCCAGCTCTAACGCATGTTGTCATGAGGACATCTCGCGGGGGGGGAGCGAGTGGGAGAATGACGCCGAACGCAAGGAAGTGCACGTGGAGGAGGGCGTGGAGGAAGACGTCGAGCACGAGGGGGAGGAGGGAGACTCCTACGACGAGGCCACTACGAGGTCACGGAAACGGCGGGTCTGGCCCCCCTAATGGGCCGCCGGCTTCAACCACCAGTCCGACCGCGCGGCCGATGACTACGCGCCCAACCAGGAGACCGCCCTGGTGTCGACCACACGCTCGACTTTTTCGCGACGGATGGCCTGTGGACCCCCCAACAGAGGCTGCTGGTGGCGACCACGAGACTGACCGCGAGCCCTGCCGCGAGGCCGACGATCACTCCGACCGCTAGATCGAAACGAGCGCGACGGAGGGCCTGGCCGCCCCTATACGGGCCACCAAGTGGACCCGCGCGGTCTCTCAATGGCGCCAGTCCCAGGCCACTGCGGCGGTTGCGCCCGCCGCCGAGGCGGCCCGGGCAGCCCGCGCCGATGCCGCTTTGGCCACCGATGGCGCCTGCGCAGCGCCACGCTGCCCCGTCTGCACCGTGCACCTGGCGTGAAGCGATTCCGCCGAGGGCCCACGCCACGCTGGATGGGATTGCCACCGCCTCGACCGACTCGGCTGCGACGGCCTGCTGGTTACCTCCAAATGGTAGTGCCATGCTTGCAGTGTTGACCTATGCTTGCAGCGTTGACCTATACATCGGGCGAGGAGAACTATGCACACGCACCGGTCCTGGCCAGGCCCATCCTTGGCCCCAGGATCGGTGCACATGCCTTCCTGGCCAAGGCAGGAGGCGTATGCACCGATCTTGGGCTCAGGACGGACCTGGCCAAAATCGGTGTGTGTGTGTGTGTGTGTGCATGGTTTTTTTTCCTCTATATACAGTGTACCGAAGACCCGCCCCGGGGCCCGCGCCGCAGAGCTCGCGCGCGTGCCCGCCACCGCGCCCGTGTCCACTGTCGAGGGCCGCCACGCCTGTCCCGCGGCCGTTCGAACCTGCTAATGGTGCGCTTCCAGGAGGAGGTGCGGTTACTCCAGATTTTGTAATAAAGGGAGGGGGGTCTCATTTCGGGGGGGGGTCTCTTCCAGGCTATATTGGAGGGCATGGGGGGTCTGGGGACGATGTTTTGGAGGGTTCTCCCACGGGGGAGGTCTGAAATGGCTTGCCTTGGAGGGTCCAGACGCCCTCCCTTTTATTACGAAATCTGGAGTATCCGCCCCCTGATGCCGTGCCAGGCCGTCTCTGCAGCCTTGCGTCTTCCGTGTGGTCGTGGGGCAGCGGAGGAGGGGCGGAGGCACGAGGACGGGGTCGCAGCGCAGACGGCCAGGCCGGAGTGGCCGAGCCAGTCGTGCAGCGTCGGATGCCGCAGCGGTGATTCACAGTCTTCTCCCTTGCTTGTTACCAGCTTGCTGTGTCAGCCAGCGGTGGTGGGTGGGAGGGTCGGGTCGGGCGAAAGGGGGGATTGGGAAAGGGGGGTTACGAAATTTGCTGCATGCAGCCGGTTTCGGCCCCACCGAGGGGCCCATTCCTCGATACATGGTCGCCTCCGGCGCCGGGAGGGGCAGGGAAAATCAGCTACGTGAGCTGATTCTCAAACCCCCCCTTTGCTATCCCCCCCTTTCGCCCGACCCGAGAGGGTGGGAGGTCATCGGGATGTATGGCGGACGATGGGCGGTCAAAGTGGCGTGGACCCCACTTCTGCGATCCACGACGACGATAGCTGCTGAGATCCTTCCCAGTCGCCGCCTCGTCGCGCGCGCTGGCATCCGAGGAAGTGCGCCGCGCCATAAGCACGGATTGTGCTGGCAATTGTCGGTTCCCCAATGTCGCGTTTGGCGTTGGCCCCCACGCGCTGCGCCCAAGCTGCTGTGGCCCCCTGGCGGACACGATTCCGGCTTGCCCCGACCTTTCACCCCTCCTCCTCCTCGTTAGACT